AAATCAATACATACAACTACTTTTTAAATCAATAAAATCATTTTCTAAATCCATAAAAGCATTTCAATTAATATTGGGAGTCATATCGTTACTTTGTTGAGAATGTGGCCATGTAATAAGCGGGATAATGTGCAGCGACTTGGTCATTATGGGGAAAATGACACCTTCATGCCGGTCTAGATCCCTCCGCTTGGCGTCGGGCTCCTGATCAGCCTGTGGGTGTTCTTTTCCCCATAATGACTGCATCGCTGCACATTATCCCTTAGGCTACATATGATTATATAGAGTCATTATTCATTTGTTTTAAAGCAGGAGGCGCAAACGCTTGCCTCGGGGAGGGAGAAAAAGAGCCACAGCGGAGAATAAACAGAAGGGCAACCATGCCAACCATGCAAGGGAAGTCTTCTTCGCTGCTTTTGTGGCAGACTACAGCGCCACTTACAGGCCTGGCATATAGACTACAGCGTCTCCAGCGCTTTCGAGCAGCAATGGCCGGCCGTGGCCCAACCTCTCATTCCCCTGATAGGTGGAGAATTGACCAATAGCCGCAGCGCCACCGTCCTGACGTCAGGACAGTGTTCAAATCTGGATCAGTCTGTATCAGATCCGTTGCAGCCCCTTTTTTAGAGATTTGGGTATGGAGGAAAATAGAGAGGGTTGTGTGTGACACTTGGTGAGTTCCCTGGAACACCGGGGACACATATTCATGTATAAAATACGTACAAAAGTGCATTTTGCATGATAGGTCCCCTTTAAAATACCTGCAACTTGACTTGAACGCTAGCTCAAAGAACTGAGACCTGATTTGGACCTGACCCTCAAAGACTTTAGAATTTTCTTGGACTGTAGCTTCAAGACTCAATAATTGACTTGGACTCAAGTTTAAAGACTTTGAACTTGACTTGGAATCTAGCTGAAAGACTTAAGAGTAGATTTTGGCTTACTGCTCAAAGACTTGAAACTTAATATGGACTTTAGTTTTAAGACTTCCTGACTTGGATTACATTTTAGCTTCAGACTTGACGTGGAATATAGCTCAAATATTTTAGCGATTGACTTGGACTGCAGATAAAAGCACAGAGACTTGACCTGAAATCAAGCTTAAGTACTTGAGGCTTGACTTGAAGACTTGAAAGCTGATTTTGACTTGCCACTAAAATACTTGAGACTAGACTTGGACTCTAGCTCAAAACCCTGAGACTTCACTTGGACATGACCCTGCAAGACTTAACACTTGACTTGGACTCAAGCTAAAATACTAAAAAACCTGACTTGTAACCTAACTCAAAGACTTGACTTGGACTGTAGCTCAAAAGCTTGATCCTTGACCTAAAGTCTACCTCAAAGACTGAAGAGTTGATTTTGAATGTAACTCAAAGACTTGAGACTCGTCTCGGCATTGACCCTCAAAGACTTGATACTTGACTTTGATACTAGTTTTAAGACTTGAAACTTGACTTGGACTTGAAAAAAAGGGCTTGTGAGCATCTCTGATATGTGGTGATGGCTTCAAGAAGTGTCAAAACTCAGAGCAATGGGTTGTCCTGTAACCTCTGCACTCTGTACTTTAGGCTACAACATAATTCTAATCACGATTCTGAGTAAGATAGGGGTTCTCAGCAATGGCTAACAATGTCAACCCACAGATTGTGTGTCTGTTGACAATTAACAATTGTTGGTGTCCACTCCTGGATAAATATGAATTATATAACCTTGACTTGATACCCTACATAAGGTACAGAAGCAGCTGCATAAAAACAATATGTTCGCACCCGCTCGTAGGTGTCCAACAACATCTGCAAGGCTGCCTTTCTTGACTTTGGTGATGAAGGCCCCAAGTCTCCCCATCTCTGTCATCTTCCCTCCTACCACCTTGGGAGAAAGGAGAATGCATATTAAGAATATTAGTTTATGTCTCCAGTTCTCTGCAGGATTCAGTCATTGCTTAACATACACATTTGTTTCATGGAAAACTCTTTACCTTTTTAATTTGTCTTGCCAAGCACGACATACAGCTAACAGATTTTCAAATGTTACTTTTTCCAATTATAAGTAATCTAGCACTAACAAACACAAATAAGGTATTTACAAGCAACATTCAGGTGTGAATGTGATCAATTCTATGCTTACTTTCAGGCCGAGGAGAGAGCCAGCCTCACGGGGCATTGCCGATCTCTTGCTCAGCGTGATGCGTCCGATCAGGTGGTCACCCTCTTTGGATGGCTGCCATGTAACTGGATGCTACAGGAAACGTTATGAGGCATTGTGAAGGGGGATAGGGAAAGACATAAGGAGAAGAGAGATGAGGAAAGCAAATGTTTTAAGTCATTGGTTGATTTTGTATTGTTTGGATTTCATTCGTATCAATGCATTTAGGAATAAGTGTATTTGTTTGGTTCTGTACATGAGTAACAGTAAGAAATCAGGACTGAGGCAGTTTATTTAGGTTCAGAATTTGTAATGTTTTTGCTGAAACTTACATGCCACACTGTAGGATCTAGAGAATGACAGTCCCAGTCACCTGCACAGAGAAAGAGAAGGAGGCGTTATTTGGCCTGAAAGATATTGACACAGTTTGGGGTAATGATGACTACAGGATGACCAAGTTTGGAAGAAGGCTAGCTCTGTAGTTGGACTAAAACTTGATAATCTGAAGAAAGTGGTGGAGCGGAAAGAGAAAAGATGGACGCATCATGGAAAACCCCTCCCACTCCATCCATGCAGAGCTAGTGAGGACGAGGAGCAAATTCAGCCAAGGACTCATCCCTTCGTCAAAGTGTCTTGGACAATCCTTTGTACCAGTAGCCATCACACTCAACAATCAAGGATAAACCTCTTCCCTAACCTGGTCATTTCCTTAAACATAGTATAGGGATGGCTAAAAATGTAGTCCACTTGGCAGCAACCATTTAACCAGCACCACCTTGACAAATATAGTTTTTAATTTATGCACCAATTAAACCTTGAAATAACAGCTTCTTGCTTCTTGCACTTCTTGAACTTGGTGAGCGGTGCAACTTCCAATGGGAAGTAGGACTTAACCAACCCTAAGCCAACTATTTCACAGTCATATTTGATTGATAAAATACTTTTTGATGTGCTCTACTTCTTGTTCTTGTGATTTAGAGTTTACAGTTTATGTGCAGAATATGTGTCACTAAAGTAACGCTAACTGCTAACTGAAGCTAACATTAAACGCTGAGAGACTTTTTGTCCATTTTCATTTTTGTCTTCAGTTATTGTATTTTTACTTTTTTCAAATCTTGGTGGAATATGCAAATAGGAAAATACACTTAAAATAAGTCAAAATATATCTTTATAAAATCCAATGATGTTATGTATGGAGCCCCTTGCATATATCTGCTAAAGAAGAAATCCTTGGGCTTTGTGTTTACTTACATATTATACCAATTCCACAAGGTTACTCGGTTGTTAAAAGATAAATAAACAGATATTAATACGTAAACAACTCTGCTTTTTTGCTGCTTGAAGTATATTGCTCAAGAACAACAAACTATTTAAAAATAATAAAGGAAATGATTTGCAATTTCACTTTATGTTCACATCAAATAAAGCACTAATACAAATATATAAATCATATCTACATTTAAAAGTGGATGTGTCTACCTCTACACTCTTTTAACCTACCAAAAATATCCTTGAGTGATACAGAAATATATATATTTTGCATCCCTATTATACCTCCTTAAAATGCCATCCTCTTACGTACATAATGTTAAATGGAGTAAAAAGACACAAAAAACAAACATGCTACTATGAAAAAAACATAAAAATTGCATTAAAGTAAGAATAAACTTTTATTAAAAATCTACTGATTCACTGCTTGTGTGCCTGTCCATAACTCATGCCAGAGCCTGGCGGTGGACAAAGACACCAGTGACTGAGAGAGTATCCCCACTCTCATTAACACGGACAGATGGTGGGCTCAAGTGGAACAGACCAAAGAAGCCTGTGAGATTTATGGCCACTCTTCCTCCACAGGACTAAAACAACAGTAGATGACATCAGCCTGGGATTTAAAACACTCTGAAGAACTTCCTATTCAAGGTTACTAAAAGATTTTCACCTGGCACGAAGGCTGCGCTCCGTCAGGATCAAAACCTCACGCCGATGAAAAGCAGGAGAACCAAACCCTCCCTGTCACACCCTCTTCAAACCTCCTATAGACACTTTGTGTTCCAATACGCACATCTTGTGAACCATTACTTGTACACCATACTGTAAAAATGATTCAGTATATTTTTCCTTTTTCTGTATAATGCTACATCTTTAAAACTGCACAGCTCCTCCACTTCTAAATTCTGATATAGTGCACATACAGTAAATGTATGATTTACTGCACTGTTTTCCTTTTTCTTTGTCATATTGTTAATATTTTTTGTATTTTACATTTTTAAATGATCAAATCTGAACTAGTATGAGAAGACATGGCTCCAGAGCTGATAATTTGAAATCTGAAAGTCCACGGTTAAGAGGATAAATGCTGACTCCACAGTTTGAAATGCTGAGTCAGGGCTTTTGGTTTTGGAGAATGAACATGCTGGGCAGATTACAAAATATGTGCTGCTTTTCTTCCAACTGATGCTGCGTGAAAGCATCCGCTCCTTGGAGGTATATACTGTATATTACTATTTTTATCATCATCACTAAAATGAATAAACTCAACAAAGCTAGCATTTACCGTACAGGTTATTTTTATTTATTGTGTTTATTATAATTTTTTCTGGGATTGCAAATATGAATACATTTGTGGGAAACAAAGTGGACTGGTTTCACTTAAAGGTCCCATGTCATGGCCATTTCTACTGATCATAATTCCATTGTTGAGGTCTACTAGAATACATTTAAATGTTTCAATGTTCCAAACTCACATTGGTTTCTCATTCAGCATCTCTGTGTAGTATGTGTGTATTCACTCTCTGTCCTACACGGCTTGTTGGAGCTCCTGTGTGTGTGATTGCATGGGATACTTATATCTGTGTGTGTGTGTTTGCCTAACTAAAGCATCTGACTCTAACCCTTATGTCCTCCCTCCCTCCCTCCCCTCCCCTCCCCTCAGGGGACTATGCGGGGGTGAAGCACGCGCTCCGGGAGGCGGAGGTGTACTACAACATGGACGTGAACTGCCTGGACCCGCTGGGCCGCAGCGCGTTGCTCATCGCCATCGAGAACGAGAACCTGGAGATCATGGAGCTGCTGCTGGACCACGGCATCCACACCGGGGACGCCCTGCTGTACGCCATCCGCAAGGAGGTGGTGGGCGCCGTGGAGCTGCTGCTGAGCCACCGGAGGCCCAGCGGGGAGAAGCAGGTGAGAGAGAGAGAGAGAGAGAGAGAGAGAGGGGGGACAGAGGAGGGAGGGAGAGAGAGGAGGGGAGGGAGGGAGGACAGAGAGAGAGAGAAGTANTTGTGGCAGACTACAGCGCCACTTACAGGCCTGGCATATGTACTACAGCGAATGAGAGGTTGGGCCACGGCCGGCCATTGCCGCTCGAAAGCGCTGGAGACGCTGTAGTACATATGCCAGGCCTGTAAGTGGCGCTGTAGTCTGCCACAAAAGCAGCGAAGAAGACTTCCCTTGCATGGTTGCCATGGTTGCCCTTCTGTTTATTCCCTCCGCTGTGGCTCTTTTTCTCCCTCCCCGAGGCAAGCGTTTGCGCCTCCTGCTTTAAAACAAATGAATAACTTGTGGGGAAAAGAACACCGACATTATGCAATGTGCACATTATCCCGCTTATTACATGGGCACATTCTCAACAAAGTAACGACATGACTCCCAATATTAATTGAAATGCTTTTATGGATTTAAAAAATAGTTGTATTGATTTAAATTGACATGCATTCGCTAAGAAAAATAGTCCATTGTTACTGTTTGAACTAACGTAGCAACGGCAGGAACTGCTTCGATAGCGTTTTTGAGGAGCTTTTTGATTACAGATTTGAAAATATCGTTGCTTGCTTTAAAAGTAGCACAATTCATTATGTCAAACCTTGGAAAGTATCTAGATATCTCTGCCCTAATGCCAAAGTAACTGGCAACTGAATATTGATGTCTATGTCTGGACCGCTGCGTAAAAAGGAGGGTTTCTGCCCCATTACTTCTCTTCTTACTTCTATAAGAATAAAACATGGAGGACGGAGATCTCTTTTTCTCCCCCTCTTCTGATCTCAAAGCACGCTCCCCTCTCCTGCAGGGGGGCGTGGTCAGCTGCATCTCACAGAATCAGCCCCCTGCAAAAACAGCGCTGGAAAGAGCATATAGAGCTAAATGAGGCATGGCTAAAATGCAGGATCTTCTTGGTGTTTTGAAAAAAAAAACTATATTTATATACTTTATATAGGTATGGCCCTACAATATATTGTTCAAATATAGCATGATAGGTCACCTTTAAGTTGATCTTTATCCCAATTTTCTTTCTCGTATATGTTCTACTTTTATCTCTGGGTAGTTGTTTTAACGTTTAGTATTACACCCCTCACCTGGCTACGCAATGTATTTATATTCAACATAC